CCTTCGGGGTCACGGCTGCAGGGGGCACGGTGGGAGGAGGGTGCGGGGACAAGGCTGGGTGAAGAGGACTCAGTCGTGACACAAGGTCAGTGGGGCACGAGTGTGGGTAGTGGGCAGCTGGACAAGGTTGGTGAGGTTCAGTTCTCTGGGCTGCATTTTAAAGATTCAAACTAACCAGGCTCTCCAGAGTACAGAAGAGTACGGGACCAGCAACACCTGACCAACCCAATCGTCAGTAAGTGACGTCGTTGTCCGAGGTTCCCTCACCGTGCCCGCGAGTTCCGTGTTCCACGCCTCCTTTGTCTAGGTTCTTTGGTGAGATGTTCGGTGCGGGTCCCCTTCCAAGTTAGAAAGTCTAGCAGCCCGACTCGCACAGTAGCGTCTTAGCCTCTATTTACTGTCAAATTTTTCTAAACCTTCTGTCTTCATTTCTTGACCCTTCCACAAGGGCTGCAAGTTTAGCCCTGGTAATATGGTTTCAGATCCCACAAAACTCCTGAAACTGCTCTCAGCTTTTCGTTAAGCTGGATTCTAACCTTCCCTAGCTCCTCTGGTTAAGAAACCAACTCAAATTAGACGTGCCTTATACTAGCCCCACCACTTAGTTGGGTGGTTCCAGGGTCAGGAAAGTTGGCCCAATCTTAAAAAAAATGGGGGTAGTAGTGCATTTACCTAATAGACTAGGCAGCACTTTAAAAAATAACACAAAGGATTTAAAGGGAAAGTCTGGGGCCCATCCCAAAACCAATTAAGAATTCAGTTCTGGGGTTGCACTCAAAGTGAAGAGCCACCCACCCAGGATTACGTGGGATTAAGTGTACATGTGATCAAATGTTTATTATTAAATGGTCTGTTTTGAATTCTGCTAAACCCTCCTCTTGGCTTTTACCACCACCTCTCCCCTATCCCACTCTCTACCACCAGGTGCCCAAATTCTACCTCCTCTGTGAAACTTCAAATCCTCACAGTAGGAACAATCTCCTATATTCCTCTAACATGTTTTCATGAACTACTATCCCTACACAATAAAACTTATTTTTTCCTGAGTAGAATATAATTTTTCCCAGAAAAAAAATACATGTGTATGTGTGTATATATATTCTAGCCTCTACACCTCCTCTTACCATTCTCTACCCAAACACCCAAGGACTAAAATGTGTTAACACTGGAGATGGAATAGCTACTGCCTTTAAAATGCTTGATTCATTTAATCAACAAAGCAAAGGGCCTACAATGTACCAGGCATTGTTCTGTTAAAATAAAGAAAGCTAAGACTCAAGCCTGACAGTGGCTGTGAAAGTATATTCAAACCCTTGAGTGGCTGTGAAAAGCAACAGATAACAAGTAAACGGAACAATTAGTTCATACAGTAACTGATGCTATGGGAAAAACAAGGTTATTTGGAGAAATGTGTCAGAGATCTCTTTTTCCAGAATGAAAAAGCCAAGTACAGACCTCAGGGCTGAATATTCCAGACTCAAGATTCCAAGTGCCAAGACCTTACACTGGAAGCTTGCCATTTTTGAGGAACAAGAAAAAATACAGCTGGGAGCCATAAAGATCAAAGAATGACCCTCTCAAATATCTCTCTGCCTTAATTTCTAGAATTTGTGACCATGCTATACCTCTGTACACTTTGCAGATGTACTTACATTAA